CAGCCTCTCTGTTACAGACCACCTCAGGAGAAGATGTGCGTGACTTCACCAAGGTGCTGAAAAACAAGTTCCGCTCAAAGAAGTACTTCACCAAACACCCTCGGCTCGGCTACCTGCCCGTGCAGACCATCCCGGAGGAAGAGCATTCAGAGACGTGAGTTTTCCTAGTGCAAATATTCAAGATCTTTTTGAGATCTCCAGATTTTTATCGGCCTATAATTCTTGTTTAAAAAGTGCAAGTATAAACAGTATTATACTTCATATATTTATGTCCTGGTAACTCGACTACTTCCTGTCATCGCTCGGCCTCATGGGAAACATGTTTCTCAGCTTCTGTTTTGCTGAGAAGTTCATTAATGACTAAAGGTCTATTCATGTGTCATTCGAATGCTGGAGGCCGTTCATTCATGTAATTCCAAAGCTGCCGCTTTAACATCAACACACAAATACTGCTTCCCTCTCGTGGATGTGAATTTAATTACAAAAGCAGTCAGGTGTCTGTTTAGTGAGATTGTGGGGGAAATGAAGAGACGGGACATTTATCATGTTCACGGCAGTCTTTAATATTGAAATAAAGCAGCTGTTCTCACTGGCTGTTGCGATGTCAGAGCACAGACAATAGTAGTTTTGTGTTGAGTCAGTGTCATTATTACTTGTCCTGATTCATTGTATGAGTGACTGCATATGGGTGTTTTGTCAACTACAGTTGCTTTTGAAACTCAAATTAAACATGCTAATTAAAACTTTTTTGCTTTAATTTATTTTTGCTACTTTTTAGATTATTTTCATGTTTTGCAATATTCTTTATTGTCCCAGACCCAGCTGTTTAATGTTAAACTATGAAAATCCATTATATATATATTTAGAAAATATATTTTTTAACAATGATCTAAACAGTGCAATAATCATACATTTATATTTCTTGGATGATTTTTTAATTCGATTTTTCCCAAATTACAGCTATCCCTCAGTTATGGTGTCATTTCCATTGCAATCAGCAATTTTTAATTTAATTTAAGTTTATTTTATTTTATATTATTTATTTTATATCTTTTCTTTTCCTTTCTTTTCTTTAAAATTACGACTACCCCTCACTTATGGTGTCATTTCCACCACAATCAATATATCTATTTTTTTACTTCACACAAATTACGACTATCCGTCAGTTATGGTGTCATTTGTACCACAATCAATAATTTAATTTAATTAATTAATTAATTAATTAATTAATTAATTAATTAATTAATTAATTAATTTTATTTTTATTTTATTTTATTTTATTTTATTTTAAATTAAATTAAATTAAATTAAATTAAATTAAATTAAATTAAATTATTTCACACATATTCTGAATTTCCCTCAGTTATAGTCTAATTTCCACCACAATCAATAATTTTGGCAGTACTAAAATTCTTCAAAGATTAGTGTACTTGTTTATCAACAAGAAAACAGTGACACTGAAGAACTTGAGATGAAATATGAGACATGATGATGTGAATGGAAATATCGCTTGTATATCGCTGAATAAAGCAATACGTATTTTTTAATGCTATTATTATTTATGTAATAATAGTCTAAAAATTTTTTAAATAATTGTACCACATAATGAATAGTGATTTGAGATGTGTTACAAATGATAAATATTCATAATGGTTTAAGGGAAAATATTTTTTTATTTGATTTCTTGTGATGCATATACACTTTTGGACCTTTTTAGTAGACAAATTGAAGTAGTGTAAGTGTGAAAAGTTCACAAGGCCAAGTAATGCCCATGTGTGATCAGGTTTGTTGACAGCTATGAGATTTTCTCACTCTGCTGTCTGTATGTTTTGCAGCCCCGTTGCATTTGTAAGCATGTGTCCAGAGGAGTATGAGTGAGTATCTGCAGTCTCTCCTCTCGTTCTCTGATTTAGTTTGAATCTCTTCTGCTCCACCACCACCCTTCATCCACTTCAAAACCATTACATGACCTCAGGGAATTCAAGCTGTGTATTCGCTCTTAATATGCAGTGGCCACAATTCAAATGTATGAATGTTGTTGTATTATATCAAGCCAATTAGCAGCTTTACTCAAATGCTGCACTAATATTTCTGAAATGCTTAAAAGCTTTTCTCAGAACTACTAATTTTTGTTGCAATGATTTTTTTAGTGGATGCATAATGTCAGTTTAAGCTTGAAAAGTTGTGCTTATACCAACTTTCTTTTAAATAAATGTCACTTGGTTTGATATTTTAACTAGTGTAATAACATTTTAAGTTTGACTTAAATGTCCACTTTAGATACTGAAACAGTGTATTCATACAACAGGAAAGGTTTTCTTAATTGGCAACACTGAAAAGGCATCCACTAATGAGCAGGATTTTTACAATAAGGCATCTCTTTTTCTCACCCTGTTACAAGTGCATTTTGTTTTAAGGTTGATTGTTTTGCCTGTCCCCTTAACAAGCTGTTTTGCTGAAGTGAATATTTCACTTTGACAGCTGCAGGGAAAAGAAGAAAAGGCTTCAGACATTTTACAGTTCGATACCTGCATCACATTGAACTTTCACTTTTCATTTTCAGGTCGACACAGAACAACAGAGAATCCAGTGCCATCCTACCTGTAGCAGAATCTCTCCTGTCAACAGGAAAAATGTGAGTTGCACCAGATCGTTTGGTTCATGTGCACAGCAGTTTGTCATTCTGTCAGTCACTGTGACACCTGAACTAACAGACTGATGAGTGAGCATTTAATATTCGACCTCACTGTGAGCAGCACAAATAAATCTGTTTCATGCATCTGGACTAATTCAGTACAGGCACATAACGGCAGTATGCTCATGTTTAATCATAGCGATCCTAAAAATAATTATTACAATTTGAATAAGCATTGCGGTAGATCTTTGCGACAATGTTACTTATTATAACCGAGACACCATTAGAGTTTTTATTTTTATATTTTCTGTTTTGATTTTGTTTGGTTAAAGTTTCAGTAATTTTTTTTTCTTTTAAATTTGTCTATAGTGTTTATTAATTTTTAGTTTTTTTTAATATTACAAATTATAAAAATGAGAAATTTTTAAATTTGTTTAAAGTACATATACGTTTTTTTTTTTTTTTTTTTTTTTTTTTTTTTTTTTTTTTTAATACATATTGGTTTTTTTTTTTTTTTTTTTTTGTATATTTTATTTTATTTCAGTTAAGGTTTATTTTATTTCAATTAACTAAAGTTTATATGGCAACAATTTTAGTTTACTATAATAAACCTGCTATGCATTTAACAACTTAATTGCATGGATAGATTTCAAGTGATTATTTGATTGCTTGCTTTTCTTAGTTTTTCTTTGAAATGTCTGTCATCATGCCACTGATTGACCACTACACAAGTCATTTTTCAGCATAGGTTTTTAATAAATATAGTATGATTTTTTTTTTATTTAAAATCTAAAACTACAAAAGAATGGGTTAAACCAATTTAAGCAATACAATATTGATGCTTGCCTTTGAGATCGTTGCTAATGAATTAGACATCATCTATTATGCAAAATGCAATATTATGTAAGCAGTGACAATATTATGTAAAAGAGTATGCAAAATGATCTGTCATCATGCTCATCTTTGCAGGAGTGCAGACGACATCCACTCTCAGACTGATGAGAGAGCAGCTACATGTGCACATCAGAGCTCATCTGACACTGAGATGATGATGAATGAGCTGGAACCTTCTCAGAGTCTGGAGGCGGACAGGTACCTGCATCATGTCACATGATGCACGCTGAGGGCCACTGATGTGTTTCTGACGCCTCTGGTGGCCTGATGCCTTACGAATGCTAGCAAAACAACTTCATATAGCCTACTATTATATGGCTCTATCCAAAATCACATGCTTTCCTAATATATAGAAGACCAAAAACAGTATGTGAAAGTAGTACGCCCCAAATTCACAGTATTCATAAAATAATAGGCAAAAAGTTCCCAGACGACCTACTATTTCCGACAAGATTCTGAATTGCGCATCAAATGGACACTTCATAATTTGGACCGAGTTTACATCTCACAATTCTGAATTTACATCTTGCAATTCTATTTTTTGGTTCCACCAATGGATAAAAAAGTGAAATAATAATAACAGTAATTGCGGCTTTTTATCTCACAATCTGGACTTTTCTTCTTTGCAATTCTGACTTTTTTTTCTCTCACAATTCTGAGGTTATATTTCAGAATTCTGAGTTTATCATTTGCAGTTCTGAGAAAAAAGTCAGAACCGCCAGATATAAACTCACAACTGCCATTTTTATTTTGTTTCAGTCCTGTGGCAGAGACAAGCTTTCATAGTCTATCCTCTTTCCTTTAGATCTGAGGATGTTTCTGGCAACTTCACATGAGACTCTTCAATCAGATGAGATCGTGGAGGCCTGGGATCTGAAGTTTGAGCTCTTTGCATAAGATTTCATCTTACATCATCCATGTAAGAGCATCTCACACCCCACACCGAGATGACTTTCATCATCGCTGTCTTCTGCTCCTCAAACTGATAAGAGCTGGAGTCGACCGCAGTGCAGATGTGTTTGTTTATCCGTGAGCTGTTCGCTAGAGGATGACCGTACAGACAGATCCCCACGCGACTTCCTTCCAGAGAGACTGCTGTCAAAAAAAGTGTACACATTCTCTCACTATGACAATCAGTTCTGAGCAATGCAAAGTCTGCTTTAAAGGAAAAGTTCCTCCCCCAAAAATGAAAATTTTCTGAAAATGTTCTCACCCTCAGGCCACCCAAGACGAGTTTGTTTCTTAACGGGAACAGATTTGGAGAAATGTAGCATTGCATCACTTGCTCACCGGTGGATGCTCTGCAGTGAATGGGTGCCGTCAGAATGAGAGTCCAAACAGCTGATAAAAACATCACAATAATCCACAAGTAATCCACACGACTACAGTACATCAATATAATGCCTTGTGAAGTGGAAAAGCTGTGCGTTTCTAAGAAACAAATTCATCAAGGAGTTTTCATTTTAAACCGCTGCAAACTCATCTACATATTGCACTGCACTGTTGTCCATCTATAGGGCAAAAGCAACAATTTGAAAAGGAATCACACTAGTGGAGTGTTTCTTTTCCAATTCCATTGATATTGGACATGTAGTAGATGTTTCCTCCATCTTTATTCCAAAATATGTTTCATACATTTGTTTGCTGTGTGCATCTTACATATGACACTATATTGTGTGTTTTGGTGTCTGAGCAAGTCCTTACAATTATATTGTTAACTCATATTGTTGCTGTTGTGAAAAGCTTCTGTGTCACCATTAAACTTCGTTGGATTTGACTTGAAAAGCTGCATTGTAATAAATATATATTTTTGTCTCAGAAGTTCCTGCTGCATTTTGAGACAAATTTTGATAATGAATTCTTGTTTAGGCATCATTTAATTAAAAGATTACTCCTAATCAGTCTCAAACTCAACTGAATATCAATAATGCATGATTAATTAAGGATGTTTTGAACAGGATGCTATTTTTAATCTCCTGTCTGATTATTGTCTCAGCTACACTGATGTTTTCTGGGGTTTTTTTCCAGTCACAATGTTGCAAACTGAAAAGTTTCTATTTTCTCTAACCAGGATGCTATGAAAGCCACCCACACATCTAAAGAGTACATTAAATGCTCTCGTTTGTTTTAGGAGATGATGGAAACTTTTCTCTAATGCCTGTTTAATGAGGTAATGGTTTAAGGAACCCTTCATTCATTATGTAATTGGTAATTACGGTATTACATAATACTAATTACAATGCAGAGCAGACAATAGATTTGTTGCTAAAAACACCCCTCCTTAAGGTTTAAGGATATATCCATTGTCTCTGTAAAGATTATTACGAAGACATGCATCATCTATTGAAGAACATTATAGCATCAGAAAGCTATGCTTCTTTGTTTAGCTTAAGAAATGTGGTGATAGTTCTGGGTGTATTATTTGTCTGTCTAAACCCTTAACTCTGCTGTAAAAGCCCATTTCCACGAAGGTTACTGAAGCAGATGAGCCCACCTGATTCAGGACATTTATCATGGTTTTTCATGTCTATGTGTATGTTTCGGCCTACATGCGAAATTATACGGAGATAGGGTGACCATATTTTAGTTTTCAAAAAAGAGGAGAGGGAGGATCAAAAAGTTGGATCAAAAGCCAGATCCAACTTTAATGAACATTAAATATTGTCCTTAGAAAGAAAATTAATCGTTTCATTAACAAATTTCTCAGGAAATGTACTGTGCAAAAGACCTGTGGTTTTTGATTAGCATGTTCTGATTCTGAATACAGCAGCACCATCTGGTGGTAAAGCACTTTACAAACATAAAAATAGAGTGATGCTATTATAAAATATCTGTAAAATCAGAGCCACATCATGCACTTAAGTGATAAATGTGGATCCACTACTTATTAGTATACTTTTAATATTTCTATGCTTAAAAAACTACCATCCACCCATTACATGATTGATTTCACACTGGCAAATTAATTTCTCTGCCAGCTTTGCTTAACTTTATTTTAAATCTTTGACACTTGGTTCGCTGCATATCTGGAGCCTGATAAAATGGCACACAGGCAACCTGGATTTCTCACACTTTATTAAATTAAAATATTTAAAAAATGCAAATGATGATACAACTACTGATGTGAAACAACTGTTTAGGTTAGTTAACCTAAAGATGGACAAACATTTTGATTATTTACAATAGAAAAAGAGGTTTGAGAACTATGAGGTCATATAAAACCGCAAATATGAAAACTGTATTACAAAAAAGTGTTGGTTTGGAGGGTAAATTAACTGTACACTTACTTTCAAAAAAAAAAAAAGTACAAATCCCGACCTAAACTTTCCACAGTTCTTCTTTAAATACCTGAGTTCCCTCATACAATGATATATATGTCTGGAAAACTTAGAGTAAATATATTTAAATAGAACAACATAAAAGGCTCCCAGACTGTTGATGCAATAAATGAATGCATTTTGTTCCTTCGGCAACAACAACAACAAAAAAAACCTCAAAGACATTAACATGTTGCACTTCGACTGATGTTAACTCTGATAAAGTCTTTAAAAATAAGCGTTTCATGACTCTTCAGTTCTCAAAGATGCTAGAATTAGATTATTCGGAAACGTTTCAGAATATTGCTCTATTGTCATCACACAACAAAAATTGCAGAAAGCACATACAGTAAAACATATCACACAACTAATTCCTTAAACAAGATTGAAAATATTGCAACATTTCAGACTGTTAGCAACCTGAAACACTGTAATTGCACACCTGAAAACATACTGTAAACTTGACTTTTAAACCATCAACAAATAAAAGTGGAAGAGAATCACAAGCTCACATCAAGTTTCTAACAGATAAACTGTCTATAATGGCATATGCTTGATGTTAAACCCCTGAGAGACAGAGAAGTACATCTGCACATGCACTGTATGCCACCACAAAACAGGCTACACCTGCAGTCTTGTACCTGTCCTGCAGGTTTTGTGCAGTGACTCAGCATCAGGAAGATTGTAATAAAGCACATGCCATCAACTTAGATAAAGTACATTTACATGAATCCGCTTACTTTTCAAAAGACACAGAAGATGACCACTGGAAGTGTTGTGTGTGACAGTATCAAGTACTATGTGTTGTATACAGCTAAAACTGGATACCATAAATGCTTCTCGGAGAATGAACTGTTATGTGTTCGTTCTGACAAACTGATCAAAAGGGAAAACTGTATAAGACTGTCATTTATAGACTTTTAAATGAGAGAGAAATCAGGAGGTTAAAGTCTACATCAGTGGTTCTCAAATGGTGGTTTGCTGGTCTGTTCTGTGACAGCAGGCAAAAAAAACAAAACAATGCTAAATACAAATTCAAATAATCAAATGCAACTAACCATATAGTCATGCATAGGTAGGATAGTAAAATAAATGGACTTATAAAGAGAAAACAATTCCTATATCTTTTGCTCTACATCTAATCAAACTCTAATGTATTTTGGAGCAAACTCATCTATTATATGAAATGCCAAAATGGACAGTTTGCTTAATATACATTCTCAAGGAGGAAAACTATGCAAGGTAAAAGAAAACATGACCCTTACGTCACCATTTCATGTACAATGTAAATTTGGGTCCAAAAGTAAAACCAGTTGAGAACCACTGATCTGAAAGAAATTGGATTGTGTATTCCTGCATTACAAAAATGCACACAATGGTTTTCCGTTTGGTCATCACCATTTTAAAAATTCAGTGTTTCTGGTTTGAAGCTACATAGTTCAACAAAAGCAACGAATTTGTAAAAAAAAAAAAAAAAAAACGGAATATATTGTCTCAAAAATGCAAGACAGCACAACCATCATCAATACAGCAGGTAGATATTGTTTATTAAAAAAACATCTCTTCCAAAATTGGTTTATCAAGTTTAGGCTCTTATTTTAATGAATCCATTGCCAAACAAATCCCATGGTTCACCTAAACACATAAGGCATGTTGTATTCTAAAACGAAATCCTCTTCTGCATTTTGACTACTGTCTATATCACCGGTTTAAGCACTGAACGTAGAGAGCGTCCCTCTTTTGTAAGTTCTCTTGTAAAACTCATACATGGAAGTGGGACAGCCTCTTCTCTCCGTGTTATGGTGTTAAACGTGCACATCTTGAGGTGGTCGGCCATGCTGGAAATGTTGGCAAACTTCCACTCGTTTACAGTGTCAAACGCCGTACTGAACCGCCATACCTAAAACAAAAAACATCAGCAACTTAGATTGTGAAAAATCACTTTTTTTATGCTTGGTGTTTCAAGACATAACAACAAAGGTGAATACTCTCTGATTACCTTGTCTTGTATCTGCCAAGACGAGGTTCCATCAACTTGCTTTGTCTTCTCCCAGAGCAGGACCACCATGCCACGGGACTGAAGAAGACTGGCACACACGTCCCTCATAGTGCGAGACACAATGGAGAGTTGGCACAGGCTAAAGCCATCCAAGAAGCTCGCAATGTACTGGAGTAACTCAAAGGGCAGGTCACTAAGGTGATCACAGTGGGACCTGAATTGACAGGTGTCAGTTCTAGATAGAGGCTCATTGGGACAAGCTGCTAATCCAGGCTGCACACCAAAAGAGCCCAGGTGTCGGTCATGGATGACTCTGAAACCTTGTACTGAAGGACAGAACCTTCTTTGTGAGTAGGTGCATCCATAGTACGCCAACGGGCACCTTTGCTCCATCCAGCCATTAAGGCCAGCATGTATGTCACCATGGACGTTCTTAAAATGGGAGGAGAACTCATCTCTGCGAAACAGCTGTCCGCATACGAAGGTGAACATCGAGCGCTGTTTGGTCTGATAGCGTGCCACACACTCCAGAACGAGGTCTAATCTGAGGGTGTGAAATGGACTGGGGTTGGAGAGTTGCGGACTGGCGTGGTCACAGGCAGAAGCTGAGGCGATGTCACCAACCATGGTGCTGGTTGCCAGTATTGCAGAAGGGAGGGAGAAGGTCTGCGTACCAAAGTCAATGCGATAACCGTCTACAAAGCGGCAGTCTGAGATGCCCCTACCTCCTGGTGAGTCTCCCAAACAAAAGAGCAAGGCAGCGGTGATGAGGTCAATGCCATGAAGACCCATCAGATCATCTGCCACCTCAAGGTCTGACGTGTCCACCGCCTTGTCCTCCATCTTGGCTTTGAATAAATAGGGGTCGGAAAACAGAGTCCTTCGCCCTTTGATTGTAAACAAGTTCATTCCCCTGAGTGCCTGGAGATTTTCCAACTTGCGCTCCAGCCATCGGTCCTCAATTCTGAAAGGCAAATGGTGCAGAACATTGTTGTGCATCAGGTTAGGCACAGGGATGGGCAAAGGAAGAGGTAGCTGAGGCAAGTGGGCCATTTCAGGCTCCTGTGCTAGAACAGGTATGGAATGATCAGATAAAACCTGCCTTGCGTTTGAAGAGCCATTGACCCTTTCAAGTCTGACCTGGCTGACACCGTCCCCTTCATTATGAAGTTCACTGAGTTCTATCCCACCATTCATTTCGCCTTCTTCTTCAGAAGAGTCACCGCATCCACTGTTCTCCAACCAATCATCTCTTTCATCTTCAGGGTCTACTGGAAAAGGACAATCAGCACCACCTACCGCTCCCAGATCAGAATCCGAATCAGTGTCACTTTCCTTTGTTGTTTCATTGCTAAACTCCCCATCGCCATTCCTGACACCGCTGCAACCTCCATTCTGTTCCTCACCATTGGTATTCTCCACAATGAAGTCAATATTTTTTGCACTACGGAGAACGTCCAAAGTGACGGCAAAGCTTCTACGGTTTTCCACTGAAGTTGTGTAAGGTCCACCATACGGTTCCTCATCCATTTCAATGAATTCATTTTCAGGGTTCGACTCCTGGCGGCTGGAACTGTCCTGATTTTGCTCTTCCAGAGCTTTTGTCACAGTGGTCACCACTTTAAGCGACTCCAGCAACATCCGCTGATCCTGGAGGGCCAAAGCCATGTCGAGCTGCTCCACGTCACAAACCTCCTTACTCAAGTTATCGTAGGACTTGCGATCTGCGTAACTCACTGGCCATCGATTCCATTCCATAGTGCAACACACAATGCTGGCTGGGCACGTTTCAAGGTGCTGTGCCATTTTGACTCTGGCAAGGTTGAACGGACATCCGAATCCACAGTTCAGACACGGGACTCTTTCGTATGGACACAGCAAGCGATGTTCATTCAGTTTGCATGAGTGGAAAACCGCTCCACACACAAGAGGGCAACCCATGAGGTCACAGGAAACATTAGGTTCTGGTCTTATCATACATCGGCGGTTGACACATTTCAGGCAATGGATATGAAGCTCCTCCATTGCAAATATTAGTGAGTCGCTTAACTCAAAGACGCTATGCAAACACTGTGGAAGAAAAGAAAACGGATCGTTAGACCTGATCTTATTTTGGACACACACTTTGTGTACAACACCACACGGCTTAAAATCTATGTACGCCATTCTTGGGGAAAGTCTCCCCGTCTCTTAAAAGGGATAAGTGTAAATCAGACCCTGTTGCCCTCTCGCAGTATGTTTACCAAATTACTAAACCATTGCACTGCCATTTCACAACTGTCCTAAAGTTGCACGGTCACGCTGGTTCTTCGAGGACTTAGAAGGAACATGACCCCTTGTTTCTGAACGGTATGTTACAGGAATCAGTAATGGCTTCCACTCAAAAGAAACACTTCCATAAGGATCTTGCAATGTCATTCAAGAAGCTTCTCTCTCTCCAGCATGACAGGGCTTGGCTAGACACGAGCAGTTAGACTCAGCCGGCATGACCTAAATGCAAACCGTCTGAGTCACTTGGGTTAAGGTGGTGGGTGGGGGTCTGTCATGATGTGGTGTAAGTTTTAATTACCAAGCTGACTTTCAACATAGTCCTTGCAACACCAGCTGGGCATAAACATTGCGAAACATTTGTGTACAATGCCGGCATGTTAGTCTGAGACGTCTTGTGATGGCTTCTTTTGAAACAGCAAAACACATCTGAGGATGTTTTCTAAATACTTAGGTGTTTGGTATCTAGTGCTCATGTGCAATATGGCATACAGTTGCACAAGCAATCACTCATAAGGACTTACAACAGACAGCATGCTTACAACATGTCAGTATGACCCCAAACATAACATGACTTCAGGATTCATCTTAGAGGGGCTCAAATTTGTGGCAGTACAGAGGTAGGCTACATTTTTGTGCAATAACTTATGGTTCAAAGCTTGCACAACTGACAATTATTAGCCATTTTTGTTTATTATTAGACATGTTTAAGAAACAAAATCACACTTCAAACTGAAAATCTGTAAATGTGTATCAGAAACAGAGGCTTATTTGATTGCATTTTATTTTGAGCTTTTATTGGAACAGAAAAGTCAGCTTATCAGTCCAGCAAACCACAAAATAAAATGCAATCCAATTGGAATTATTATAGGTTAATTTTACACATATAGCAATCAAAAAACAAAAATTGCTAAGTAATTGCCAAGTAGAGAGCACATTGACAAACTTTTTTAACAACAGGTACGGTGATGATTCATAATGAGCTAATGTCTTCCTACAGTTTTACAACAACAACAACAACAACAACAACAACAACAACAACAACAACAACAACAACAACAACAACAACAACAACAAGAGTAATGCTTAAATGAACCACTTTACTGTATAAAATTCTGGAAAATATGACAAAAATGTATAACTGCTGCATAATAATACATTTTAATCTTAATTTAATTTTCAAATGGGATGCATTCCTTGAAACAAGAGAATGAAAAAGGACTATCACAACCAAAGTGGAGAAAAAAAAGAAATATTGGTAACACTTTACAATAAGGTTCATTAGTTAACATTAGTTAACTACTTTAGTTAACATGAGCTAAGCATGAACAATACTTCTACAGCATTTATTATTCTTAGCTAATGTTAACTTCAACATTTACTAATGCATTATTACAAAAAAATTTTTTTTGCTTGTTAACATTAGTTAATGCACTGTGAATTAACATGAACTAACAATGAACGACTGTATTTTCATTAAATAACATTAACAAAGATGAATAAATACTGTAATAAACGTATTGTTCATGTTAGTTAATGTCCTTTTACTAATGGAACCTTATTGTAAAGTGTTACTGAAATATTTTTAAAACCTGAATGTTATATAAAATATTCAGAATTTTATTATTCAAGCCAGCCTACACTATTTTGCTTAAGGTATATGTCAGTTACAGTATAAGGTCAATACATATTAAAAAACAGATAATTAAATAGTTAAATCTCATTATTATTAATTTTTAAAAATATTTTTTATTATTTTCATTAATGACAATTGCTTATATGCCATAATTGATAGCTGACAACTGAGTTAATTATCTCTTAGTAATCAAGGGCCTATAACCTGTGGATCCTAATTTTCATAAACATGACATGACACCAAATATGACATATGATGCATAATAATCCCAAGCATGACACAATCCTACATATGATCTGACACTAAACGTGAAATGTCTCCCAAATATGACATGCTCTTGCTCTGCACTGAACTCAATCCAGTCAAACTCATGAAACCTGAAGCAGCTTTTGTTGTTCTTCTTTAGAGTAAAACGACTGACAACATGAACCTGACAGTACTATTAACTCGTGTAGATCAATAACCAACGACTTAACTCCAACGAACCATCCTCAAACATCTTTATGTTTATATTATGACAGGTAAATGTTTTAATTCGTTAAACTGACAAAACACAAAGCCTGTAGCATTAGCTGGTTAGCCGCGAAATGCAAGATTAAATGAAAACGACACACATAAGAAATGAATAAACGTTGTATACTGATGAACATTTATCATATTACTAAGAGGGAAAAATAAGTATTTTGCGATATTAACAAAGACCGGGTCTATTAGGTCGTAGCCGGTGAGAAAACCAACGTTACTCAAAGTAAACAGACGTGAAAGTGTCTTACCGTTGATCAGTAACGAGTCTTCAGTCGTTTAATGAGGATAGTGTTTATTTAATGAAAAAATATTAATATTTAATCGAGTATAATGACAGTGATGTTGTTTTCACTGCTGTCTGTTTCTGTTGAAATCTGTCTCTTTACTGATACACTGAACTGAACGGAGGCCCATAGATGGGCGGAGACTAAGCGCTCGCGCACACACACACACGTACCATGATAATACAATACTGAGTACCATTTAACGTACCACGGTATATTACACCATTACCAATTTGTCATTTTATTTTTTCCTGTTGTACAGCTCAGAATCAGATGTAGCCTACATTCATTCTAAAGCTATATTCTCATAGTCACAATGGTTTTCATACATATTTGAAATGTTTACTTTACCCTTACACTAATCTTCATGGTAACCTGTTGATATCAGTAGATTTGGTGCAGTACATTTGGAAAAAACACATTCTTTTCATTTATCCTCTTTATGAGTGTTGATATTGTTAAATGTTGGGGACACATTTAAATCTTGCCCTAGTTATTCATTCATGCAAATCGATGGTATTAAATGTGTTTAGGGTACTATTGGTCATATCAGATACTATTGTTTACTTTATTGAAATCATTACATAACTAATGAAGATGGTTAACCTACCAATGGTAATGAATTATTATACAAATATCTACTTTACCCTTCATTTTTTTAAGCAATAATTGTGGTCAGATAAAACAATGTTGTAAAGTGACCCCGAAAAATGTATTTGTAAACTTAAATCACACTTTAAAATGCATAAATAACAAAATATTAAACCAAGATCTAGACTAGAGATTTTCACTGACTTTACTGGTCGTCGTCATTTTTGCACAATGTCTTTGAATCAGCGGATGGTGATGTTTAGTTCTCCTAAAGTTCACACAGGTGTTCTAGCAGATGAGCCACAGGTGGAGATCATCACATTAACTATAATCATGTTTAACTGATGATTCTCATCCACAAAGTGTCTCAATATTTCACTTTGAACAGTATATGAAGTAAGCTTTTAGGAATTCAAAAACTTTTTTATTTATTTCACAATAAAAGACAAAAAGAACAACTACAGGTTAGCAGACAAAACTTTCAAACTGAATGCAATTCACACAACACTGTGTGTATATGAGAACCCAAGTTAGCTGGCCACTTCTGAGATATGGTGGATGTTGGAGAGAGTGAGCTGGGCCTCTTGGGTCGGATACGAGTTTCTGCTCTGCAGCCAGAGTTTCCCAAAAACTCCTGTGATGACAATCAGGATGAACAGCAGACCACCCAACACAAAGGTTTCCACAGGGGGCAAATCTGAACCTGGAAGAGGAGATGTTCAAATAGGTTTGAGCACATTGGCGAGTATGGTGACTCTGATGAAGACACGAGAGTTTACAAGACTTACTCAGATTAGTATTCTCCATGTTAGTTTTGTGTCTTCTGATTGGTCCATATGAGACTGTGTGAGACGATGCAACATCCCTGCGTGTCCTTACTGATGCATCTTCAGCAGAGCAGTTCTGTGATGCACCAAGGGTTTAAAGTTAATAGGACGCAAACAATGTTTTTCAACCATATTTTTAAAGGAAAAATTAATCAAAACTAGAAAATCTACATCTTTTATTTACCCACATATTGTTCAAAATTGGTATGTTTCTTGTCTGTGGAATATAAAAGGATGGTTGATGATTCAAATTAGCAATTTTTTAAAAAGTGCAGGATTAAAGACTTTTAGGACTTTGGAAGACTTGCATATCCAATTTTAGACCCTGACAGAATGGTGTTGGATAGGTACACTACCATTAAAAAGTCTGAGGTCAGTAAGACTAATACTTCTATCCAGCAAGGATGCACTAAATTGATCAAAATTGAGAGTAAAGATTTTTACATAGATACAAAAATACTATTTCAAATAAAACCGGTTCTTCTGAACTTTCTATTCATCAAAGAGTTCTAAAAAACGTATAACTGTTTCCACAAAAATATTAAGCAGCATGACTGTTTTCAGCATTGATAATAATAAGAATGTTTCTTAAGCAGCACATCAGCATATTAGAATGATTTCTGAAGGATCATGTGACACTGAAGACTGGAGTAATGATGCTGAAAATTCAGCTTTGATCACAGGAATAAATTACATTTTGGTATATATTAAAATAGAAAACAGTTATTTTAAATTGTAATAATATTTCACAATATTACAGTTCTTACTGTGTTTTTAATCAAATCAATGCATGGTGACTTCGTTCTTTGGACAGTATATATGTGTTGATGGGAACTCACAGGCTGGCACACTCCTCCTGTGTTATGACAGATTTGGACGTTGCAATGCAGGAAAACATCCGTGTAGGAGCTGCCAACAAACTTGAACATTTGTATCCTGAACAGAGCTTCTGGTCCTTGACCGTTCTTCATCACAGCTAGTGTCTGGTCGTTCCACAACACTGGACAGCTGATGTGAAGAGAAATGTTAGTCAGAGTGATATTTGTACTCAAGGGATTGATATTTAAGTTGGATCTGTTTTCTCTATTGTTCACAGAAACTGCATGCTTCATAGCTTTCTCCTGGTGGAGAATCTCTTTGGGTAGTCAAGGACAAGCACAGCTGTTAAACTGCAATGCATACGGCCGCTGACAGTCATCACATGACTGTAGCTGCATACTTTGTTTTGTCATCAGCTCCTTTAGCAACGGTTTCAACGGCATGTCTCAACAACACCCTTTCACACCTCTGGTGATAATTATGATTGAATGAACATTTAAAACCTGAGCAAAGGAATAATGAAGTGGTGAAGGAGGGCATTTACACAGAGGACAATAAAAGGGAGTTAATAAATAATTCGTTTTTAAATCACTAAAATTAAATTCTTGAAAGGCAAAAGCTCAAGTCCCAGACCTGTTCCTGATTAAGGTGTACTGAATGTTGCTGTAAGGGTCATTGGTTGGTGTGGCCCAACACCTCTCCACTCTCAGAAACAGATTTGCTGGAATCTGCAGGATAAAAAGCTTCATTAGCACATTTAAAGTAGTGACTCCATTACAAAATAATGATTGCTCATATGCAGATATACAAAATATGTGCCAGCATCTTACAAGTAAAAAGATGGTACATTATTGGTACATATTCTGTCCACAAGTTATAGGATCAATCAATTTATAATGACAGAATTTTGACTGGCATGTTTAATTTTTTAGTAATTAAGTAATAAGTAATTTTTAGGATTTGTGTACATGAAATCTTTCCTATATCTATCTAGTCGATTTGAGTAGAAAGAAATATTAGTAAAAAATAGTATTTTCTAGTATTCTAGTACAAACAGTTTTTCTAAGAATTATTAGAAATATACTTAATATATAGACAGACAGATGGATAGATAGATCGAACGAAGAACGAACAAAATATAGATAGATAGATAGAACCATCGAATGAAAAACTAACAAAACATAGATAGATAGATAGATACATAGAACCATCGAACGAAGAACAAACAAAATATACATAGATAGATAGATAAGATAGATAGAACCATCGAACGAAGAACAAACAAAATATAGATAGATAGATAGATAGATAGATAGATAAGATAGAACCATCGACGAAGAACAAACAAAATATAGATAGATAGATAGATAGATAGATAAGATAGATAGAACCATCGAACGAAGAACAAATAAAATATAGATAGATAGATAGAACCATCGAACGAAGAAGAACAAAACATAGATAGGTAGATAGATAGATAGATAGGTAGATAGTTAGATAGATAGAACCATCGAATGAAAAACGAACAAAACATAGACAGGTAGATAGATAGATAGATAGATAGATAGATAGAACCATCGAACGAAGAACAAACAAAATATAGATAGATAGATAGATAGATAGATAGGTAGATAGATAGATAGATAGAACCATCGAACGAAGAACAAACAAAATATAGATAGATAGATAGATAGATAGATAGGTAGATAGATAGATAGATAGAACCATCGAACGAAGAACAAACAAAATATAGATAGATAGATAGATAGATAGATAGGTAGATAGATAGATAGATAGAACCATCGAACGAAGAACAAACAAAATATAGATAGATAGATAGATAGATAGATAGGTAGATAGATAGATAGATAGAACCATCGAACGAAGAACAAACAAAATATAGATAGATAGATAGATAGATAGATAGGTAGATAGATAGATAGATAGAACCATCGAACGAAGAACAAACAAAATATAGATAGATAGATAGATAGATAGATAGGTAGATAGATAGATAGATAGAACCATCGAACGAAGAACAAACAAAATATAGATAGATAGATAGATAGATAGATAGGTAGATAGATAGATAGATAGAACCATCGAACGAAGAACAAACAAAATATAGATAGATAGATAGATAGATAGATAGGTAGATAGATAGATAGATAGAACCATCGAACGAAGAACAAACAAAATATAGATAGATAGATAGATAGATAGATAGGTAGATAGATAGATAGATAGAACCATCGAACGAAGAACAAACAAAATATAGATAGATAGATAGATAGATAGATAGGTAGATAGATAGATAGATAGAACCATCGAACGAAGAACAAACAAAATATAGATAGATAGATAGATAGATAGATAGGTAGATAGATAGATAGATAGAACCATCGAACGAAGAACAAACAAAATATAGATAGATAGATAGATAGATAGATAGGTAGATAGATAGATAGATAGAACCATCGAACGAAGAACAAACAAAATATAGATAGATAGATAGATAGATAGATAGGTAGATAGATAGATAGATAGAACCATCGAACGAAGAACAAACAAAATATAGATAGATAGATAGATAGATAGATAGGTAGATAGATAGATAGATAGAACCATCGAACGAAGAACAAACAAAATATAGATAGATAGATAGATAGATAGATAGGTAGATAGATAGATAGATAGAACCATCGAACGAAGAACAAACAAAATATAGATAGATAGATAGATAGATAGATAGGTAGATAGATAGATAGATAGAACCATCGAACGAAGAACAAACAAAATATAGATAGATAGATAGATAGATAGATAGGTAGATAGATAGATAGATAGAACCATCGAACGAAGAACAAACAAAATATAGATAGATAG